AAAATGTAAAGACTTGGCTGATCCAGGCCACGAAAGCACAAAGATACAATTTACTCTAATAAGTCCCTGAATCACATACAACCATCATAAGTACGCACAGTAGTATACTAAAAATTCATTTGGTAGTATTTTTTATAATAAAATGTATTTTAAAATAATGACTTGAAGGGGTTAGAATTTTCGTCACTTTTTCTCCCGGGACCCAAGCTTACTTTCATGACAACAGTGAAAACGACAAATGACAATTTTCGATTCTGAATGTTATCACAGTCACAAAGAGTACTCATCTGAAATGTACGTATAGTTCTTCATAGAGCCGTCTTTTTTAGTAACCGTGGTAACACAGACCATGGATCAAATCTTTCTCGCAATGCAAAGGTTGACACTTTCATGTGTGTGTTTTTTGTGTGTGTTTTTTGAAATAGCATTTTAAATTGCTGTTATGCCAACATTCACATGCTCTTGATTTCTGAAAATCACTTAAGCCAGTACCCCCTAAATTTGTACATAAATATTAAGCTTTTCTGCTGTAACTCAATAACCCTCTAGTATGCACAGCCCACAAACAATTCCTACATTTACTGATTCCGTGATTCAATAATTTCTGATTCCTTGCGTTTGTGAACTTGTGATTTCTTACATGTGTACTACAATTGTATCTTATAATTTTATATCTATACAGAGGTTTGGTGCATTGGAGACAGATGCCTGGCTCCATTCTCAGGTGATAATGAATTTTATCCTGGAACCATCAACTCAATCAAACATGATAAAAATGGTAAGAAGACGGCTGTTATCAAGTTTACTGGATACAAATCAGATGAAAATGAAGAATTTTCTTTTCATCAGCTCAGACAACCAGCAAGAAAGAAAACTACACCAAAGAAATGTGGTAAGAAATGGATTTCTTCAATTGCTGCACTTGTTGTGCAGTTTACATTTAAATTTTTGGCAAGTGTATTTCACACCTATTGTGTACATCGTTTGGAACCTCCCTTCCCCCACGAGTGCGCATTTTTATGGTGCTATTTAGATATAATTTTCTTGATGAAATTGCAAACTTTTAAGTTATTTAATAACAATTTTTGAAGTCATCAAAGTGCCATAAATAATACACTCACAAGATGAGTGATGGACCAACAGTATGTTGACATGGTCCTTGCCTTCTTGTCCTTCTCTTTGCCTTACTAGTATATGTTTGACTGATCAAGCTATGAAAACAGACAGGAATCACAGTCACTCTACTAGGAGAGTGACTGTGCAGGAATCAAGGAATCCAGAGAAGAACATTTGTACTACATATCGGTATATCCTAGTGAATATATGATCTACATATCAAAATAGTGATATTAAATAGCAGTGAAAAAATAATGCTTTTGCAGTTATGTTTAGTTTTGTAATAACTGTAATTAGAATTTTTTTTATTCATTTTTCTGGTTTAGATAAGCCATCGAGCAGTGCCTCAGACAGTACAAGCAGTATGTTCAGTCCTCTCAAAGGAAGTGAATTCATTGACAGGCTAAGGTATTGTTATGTATGATTGAGTAATCTGCATTCTCTGTTATCATTATCAAAAACTAGGACCCAAACTTTCGGGGAGGGGATGAAGTTAGTCTTTAGAGGATGTTTGGTTAATCCAATCATGGTCATTCCAGATTTTATTTATCACACATGGGTTTACTGTTGAATTCATTCGACTGAATTAAGTGCTTGAGATTTAATGGATGGTAAATATCACAAAACTGGTCACATACATGAATATAGTGAAATAAAAAGGGTTTGTTTCTTGTCATTATGCTCGTTTGAAACTTGTGCCTTGCGCATTCAGTACCAGTGAAGTTTGTTTGTTTTCTACTGTAAAATAATTTTAGCTGGAATTAATTTTCGCTGAAAAGACGTTTTGGGTGTTTAGTATGGAATTTATTTTCACTGTTTTTGATGAGTTAAATGTAAAAAAAGGTATATTCACTGGATTTTGTTTTCACTGAATCATTCCTTCGGTGAGAATAGCGAAAATTAATTCCGAGCGAAAATAAAGTATTTTACAGTATTTCCATAAATACTTTGTAAAATCCAAATCAACTTTTAATGCATGTCTTCAAAAGCTTTTATTTTATTTGGTGAATGTTGAATGTTTAACGTATTCTGATATATTAGTTAATTTTCAATTGTCCTTGTGACGAGAAGCAAATTTTGTGGTTTGCATATCATCTAATAGTAAGTTGACTCGTAGATGCTGGTTTAACACTCAATTTCATTTCGCTGATTTTGATAGTAAATATGGCTCAAAGTAAAGGCTTCTCCCGAGGCTTTTCTTCAGTGAGGATGTACATATAACTGTGACTTTGCCAGTAATAAAGTTTTCTCAGTACGCTGTCATTTATTTATCGTTGTAGACAAAAGTATGCCGAACTTGATGAAGAAGATTATGAGAACAGTTTTTCAAGTCCTGCATCCTCGTCCTCCACAAGGGATAAATTCACTACTCCTTCAAGACAGAGGAAACGACGAAAAGGAATTGTTGCTATCGGAGGTGAAACCATACAGTCACCATCTCAAAGAAGTTACTCTTTTGCAATGAAGAAAAGCGCCATGGCAACACCACCACAAGTTGAGTCTTCTGATGTGAAAAAAGATGGTGCAAATTACCATGGTAATGATAAATAAATTATATCCTTTCTTATCATTATGGTGGTTACATAATTATTTATTTTGGCTGATAAATGAAGTGCTAATGACTACATTTCAATGAAACTTGGTACATAGATGGTCTGTGACATTGCAAAGACCATATTAGTTTTTACATTAACATCTGTGCATATTAATAAAATGGTTAGCATGATAATAAGTCTTGTTTCCATCAATAGTGAAGTACTAGTTCAAGTTATAATCAACACATTATAATGAAACTTGGTACATACATGCTCTGGAACAATACACAGGCCTAATTAGTTTTGATTGTTTTGATCTATTTATAATGATTGCTCAGTTTGCATGCATATTAATTATCTAATTATTATTAGCCAATTTTTGATATCTCAAAAATCTGATTTAAATTGAACTTGTGGTAGAAATGCTCTGACAGAAATTTGTTATTCATAATACTGTAGGCCTCCTGCCTCAAGGTATACTCATTGTAATTACATAACATTTTACAGAGGACAATGTAATTTTACAGTAACTGAAAAAGAACAAAAAAATATGAAAAGAACATGAACTGTCAGACCAAAATAATTGTATTACTTTTTTTGTGGCGAGAAAAATAAATTTCAAAATTTATAATGTAAATCACATTGTTTTCATGTTGTGCATCTCAAATAGTAAACAAATATTAGTTGCCAAGCTTCTTGTTGGAAAGGCTAATGTCAAATTTTGAATTAATTTTTAATGTCTCTAACTCTCCTCAGCACATGGGAGCTCTTTCTAAGCTTTCTTTGATTTTGATCAATTACAACCTATAGCCAAATTGAAATTATGTTCATTTGGTCAAGAATTAATTAGGAAATTATAGAAAAATACATAGAAATTTACAAAAAATATTTTAAAGAAAAATGTTGCCATTTAAAAAGAGTGAGTGAAATGATAATATTTAAATACGTAAGTTTAAGTTTAAAGGTAATGATATTTTACCTAATTATCTCTCTGATGGTGAGAAATTGTTCAAACATCACACATATATCACACATTGTTTTGCATTTTGTTGTAAGATGATTTAATTGGAGCTAAAAATGTAAAATGCAACCATGTAACTCTGATATTTTAACTAAATTTAAAATGATCGCCATGTTTGACATGCCTAGACCAATCACATTCAAACTTGACCTTACCTCTATTGAGTTTGACCAGACCTTACTTATGCCACTGTATGATTGTAGGTTTCACAGATAGTGATTTGGAGAGACCGTATTTTCCGGCTATATGTAATTGTAAAACTAAAGAACCATTGATTTTATCAAAGTCAAAACATTCTGTTGTCCAGGTAAATAATTTCAGTTATCTATTTCTAATAAACATACAACTTCAGCTTACATGTTTGTTTTGTTTTGGATCAATCTTCAGTACTGTTTGATGGCTCATCGAGTGTTTTTGATCACATGAATCGAATGGTGCATCCACAATGAGGACTTTTGCAAGTCTGAATAGCATAATTCATAAATTACCTTGTTTACGCAATGTGATTATTTAATCAGGAAGTACAAAGATTAGAAAGTAGACAGACATATTAATTCACTAATAACAGTGAAACATTGAATAAACTGTTTTCCGTCCATTTCGTTGTCCCATGTTATGCGTAAAATCAAACATAAAAACTTAACTAAGAAAGGTCATAGCATTGTGGTGGCATCAAAACATTGCATGAGATTTGACAAACAAGTATTTTCTGGGTATTTTCTTGCTCAATAACGTACAATACACATTTTATGATGGTAAAATTTGATGAAGAAAAGTTATCTGGCATATTCCTCCCCAAAAAGTTACATATTTTGACATTGAGCTATAAAAACAAAAAATTGAATCTCATAATCAATTCATTTGATTTTAGCTTGATCATCTGCACATTTTGTGCATCACACAAGATCTCCCAGTACAAACAGTTACTATTTTAGAAATAATGGAAACAAAAATTAAAATACACAAAATACTTATTTATGCTTCATGATGTATTTTTTACAATGGTGTATATTTTTTACATCAAGAATAACAGTGGATATGCTATTAACGTTTTAATTCATACTATTTATTTATCGCATTTATTTATTTCATGTGAACCCAAAACAAACACAGTCTACACAAAAAAATAGTTTGTTTTTAAAAGTTTCAGGCTAAGTGCTTTCCATTGGTAAATGTTGGCCATTACTGTTCTCATTATAGTCATTTAGCATTTTTCTAGCAAAAAGACCATCCTGCTACCTTATAACTTATTTCGACTATAGATACTCCTCTATTATTTTCATAAATGTATGCCCTACTAATAGAGCAAATACAGTATATACAATATTTGTTTGACAGGTTCCTGCCACTATTCATCAGTATCTAAGAGACTACCAGTGTGAGGGGATTAAATTTCTGTACAGTCATTACAAGAACAATAGTGGAGCCATTTTGGGTGATGACATGGGACTTGGAAAAACTATACAGGTGAGGGAAGTATTCATCTGTAAATTGTAAATATGCCACAAGTAAAATAATCCTGTAGTTTGGTTTAATCTTGGTACTATGGTACAACTTTTATGATAATATGTAGATAGTTCAATGAACAGTATGAATTTTCTAATTATAAATCCAGGTGATTGGTTTAATATGCGCAATTTTAGGAAAGACTGGAACAAGGGAAGACTGTCAAAGAAAAATGCCTAAATTTCTACAGAAGGTGAGAATATGATTAATTTACATAAATAATGTGTTTCATCAAAATATTCAGATTTTATTCACAGCTCAAAACTAGAAATAATGTCTGGTATTGTGAGGAGCAGTGTTGATATTTTTTGAAGCATTTATTTTAAAGAAAATATATATCAGTACTGTGTTCACTCAGTAAACATACTTCAGGGCGTGCACTCAATATTTGTGTGGAATACTTAAAGTTAAATTTGGGGATTACTATTTTGATTTGCCAAAATTAGTGAATCAAAACAGATTTTAAACTACCAGTAGTGAATAATAAATACTCTCCGGTTGTTGGCAATTACTGTGTAAATTTGAATCTTTTAATTTGTTAATTCTGCAAAAAATGTTGAATGCACATATAACTAGAATATCCTCATTTGCAAATGTAATTGCCTTAAACTGTAGTCATAGAAATTTCTAAAATAAACTTGACATCATTTCAAAGAAAAATAGCATTCATAATGATTGGTAACTTAAGGTTATTGGAACATGATCAAGTCAATAGATTCAGAGTTGCACTCTATGTACTGCCCTGGGTCAGAACATAACTCAGGGGTGAAAAGATATCTTGTGATGTGGATCAAAACTACAAAATTTTTCTGTAACTAAAACATTAAGAAACTGTGAATAATAAAGTTGCTCATATAATTATTTGTAATATTGCAATGGATTCTTGGAAATATTGCCACGTCCCTACTCCAATATAGCAATATTTGATGAAGCGCATTAGTATAATTGTTTATTGTCATTTGATGACAAAATTGCATATTTTTGTTTTCAATGGATTGTGAGTTTCAAAACTAAATTGTATAAATTATGTTAATTTACTATGTTTTTGACCAAGTGACTGTCAGTGTGCATGTACAAATAATTCCTGTGTTCGTTTTAGGACATTGAAAAAGACGACAGCGGATTAAAGAGTGTTTTTCTGATTGCCACGCCAAAGACTGTACTTTATAATTGGCTGGATGAATTCAAAACATGGTCTTACTGTAATGTGGAGTAAGTAAAAATAAACATATTAAATAATAGTGCCTAGAGCTGGATAGCCAGATAAGAAAAGTAAAGTATATGTGAGTATCACAATTCCATATTTGTTCTGTTAGAAGGACAACTCAAATGAACTTGCATATATTTTACACTACATCATGGAAATATTATTTTGATCATAAAAACATTTACGTAAGTGCATGTTTACTAATAGAGCAAATACATGTATTTAAATTTTGTCTGATCTAAAATTATTTTAGAAAATATCATGGAAAAGACAGGGAAGCAACACTGATCAAAGCGATGAAAGGCAAGCTAGATGTAATCCTTACAACTCATGAAACTTTGAGAGTCAGTGTGGTAAGTATGTTTTACTTAATATCTGTTGTTGTTGGTTTATATTTAGGGTTGTGTATGATATAATAATAGTAGTTATGTTTTATATACTGTAGGATGATCTGAACAGAGTGAATTGGTCAGCTGTATTTGTTGATGAAGTCCATAAAATTAAGGTACAATATGAAATTTGTATTGTATTAATGTAAAAAAAATATTTTAAAAATTAATTTTTTGTTGTTTTTGCTGGAGTAAAAAATAAAATCCTATATTTTATATTTGAACTCATCAAAGATCTAAGAAAGTATTTTATGGTAAATGGTATTTGAATCATCGATAATTCTCATCTCAGTAAGAGTGTGATTTGATTTGATTTTTTCCCTAAAATTTTAACTGCTTTTTGAACCAACACAGGCCTTCAAAGCACTTCAATTTGTTTTAACTATGGCTGTATTTTCTTTGATATTAGGAACCAATGGCCAAGGTAACACAAGCCTTCAAAACACTAAGAACCAAACGTAGATATGGATTAACTGGAACCATTTTACAAAATAACATGTTGGAATTATGGTGTGTTCTTGACTGGTATGTATATGGTTTATTTTTATCTGTCTCGTTTTGATAATTTTAAATATCATACATATGCCTTTGAGAAAAATATAAAATATAAAATTTAATAGCTTTATGTGGTGGCATCTGAAATTATGTTTGAAAAAAAAAAACATAATTACAATGTTGGTGCTGTATCCTAAATGAATGTTTAACTGCATCAAATTGTTCTCTGATGGTAATACCGATTTTGATTTATTATAGGGCTAATCCTGGCTGCCTTGGTGCCTATGTTGATTTTGATGCAGAGTTTCAAAATACAATCGTGAGGGGACAAAGATTTGATGCCAGCAAACGAGAACTAGCAGATGCCAGAAAAAGTAACTGATTTGTTTATACTCTCACTTATCATTTGTGAATTATTGTGTTTTGGATTCGTACATGTTGACAACACCACTATAGAGAATGGGTTTATTTACTGAATTAATGTCAATTTAGATGCCAATAAATATTATATCATTGAAGCCAAGGTACAACAAAATCCTTGGCCAAGGTTCAACAACTGTTTAACCAGGGTACAACAAATTCCTGCCCACAGTGAAGCGTATGTCCATTCAGGATCCAACAAATGCCTTTCAAGGATCTAGCAAAAGCCCGTCCAGGGTCTAGCAAATGTCTGTCAAGGGTCTAGCAAATGTCTGTCAAGGGTCTAGCAAATGCTTGTCAAGGGTCTAGCAAATGCTTGTCAAGGGTCTAGCAAATGCCCATCCAGGGTCTAGCAAATGCTTGTCAAGGGTCTAGCAAATGCCTGTCAAGGGTCTAGCAAATGCTTGTCAAGGGTCTAGCAAGTGCCCATCCAGGGTCCAGCAAATGCTTGTCAAGGGTCTAGCAAATGCCTGTCAAGGGTCTAGCAAATGCTTGTCAAGGGTCTAGCAAATGCCCATCCAGGGTCCAGCAAATGACAAACCAGAGTCCAACAAATGCCCATCCAGGGTCCAAGTAATGCCACACACAGATGTCAATAAAGTCTGTAAAAATGTAATGGTTTGGATTTTTTTTCAGAAAGCAATAAATTTTCCAAATTAAGAGATAAATGGATGATTAGAAGAACCAAAAAGTTAATTGCTGACCAGCTTCCAAAAAAAGGTGAATATTAATGATGGCTGTGCTATCGGAGTGATATATGTAAAATATACTGTACAACCATTTATTTCACTATTTTGATATTATGGGATTCATGAGTTTACCAGGAAAACAAGTTTTATGAATGTTTTTTATGATTTACATGTATTTCCTTTAGCAGATTTCACGCATCATCAAAAATAGTAAAATTATAACACAATGAATAATCAATGCGTATGTCTAAACCTAAAAAAAAAAAAGGGGTTTTTGGTTTACAGGTGTATGATTATATAAGGTATTTTATATTAAACAGTCAAGTCTTTGTAAAGAAAGGGAATGTAAAATTTATTTGGCTGTTAGATTTCTGTAGGGTTCAGTTATGCAGATTTGTGGTTTACCCCTGTTAAACTGAATTCAGTTTAGAAATGTTTCCAGATTACCATATTTGTTCTATTAGAAGTGCATTTATATAAACCCAAAATTACATTTGTTGTATACTACCAGTAAATCATTTATTAACATTCTTTATTTTGACCTCTGACCTTATACACACCTCATTAAATGTATGCAGTACTAAGCAATGTGCCCTCTAAACCGATATGATAGGTCACTGAATCACAATGTTTTGTGCCCCAAGTCATCTTTACTGCTACAAACCGTTTTATTTATGTTTTTTGAAGACCACTCTCTCCAGCATTCTGACATGATCAGTTCTGTTATAGGATGCACTGCCACTAATAGAGCAAATAAGGTAGTTTAAATGTAAATACTAATGTCATATGATTGAGTACTTATAAAGACTCACAGTTCTTGCTGTGTACTGTAAAAGCATTTATTTTCACTGACATTTAATTTCACAATTTTGATATTTTGAGCATATTCACTGTGTTTTAATTTCACAAATTTGCCAAGGAAATAATGAGTTTTACCTCAAATTGCAGTCACGCTGCAATCTCTCATTACACTACAGCCCCCACGGTTGAAGCTTCATTACTAACATAGATTTGTTTAGAGTTCTTACGTTCACATGATGGGGGCTCATGACATGTCCATCCTGGTATATTTCTTGTAAGCCAATGGCCTTCATTGTGTGCACTCCTGTTTTGCCAAAGTAATAAACTTTATTATTCATGTACCTATCTGTGTTTGTGTAGCAAAATTAAAACCCAGTGAATAATTAATGCATGTACAGTATGTAGCATACATGACATGGAAGTTACACTCACTTACATTTATATACCCATAACCTTTCCCACTGTTACAGATGAGAAAGTAGTGTTCTGTAATTTATCTGACTTTCAAACTACTGTTTACAAAGAAGTTCTCGCATCTGATGATGTTCAGCTGATACTGAGACAGAAGGAAGACTGTGACTGCGGTAGGTTTAGAACTCGAGGGCGCTGTTGTTACAAGGTAGATCCTAAATTCACTATTGTGTAAAAGTAGATATTTGAATTTTCTTTACCATCAGTTTAAGTGAATTGATGTAGTTATCATTGTTTCCTTTATATTCAACCACATTCTCCATATCTGTACGACTGATTCAATTAAACTTAAAAATGTCTATCTATTAGTTCTGAAATATTTGAAGGTATTCACATGATATGACTTCCTTCTTAAATTTACGCTATTTAAAATTTTGTAGTTTTCTTGGTTTGTGTAATTCACAAATATTCATCTGTCTCTGTGTTAAATAATTTGTAGAATGTTATCACATTTTTATTGACAATTGTTTAAATCTTTGAATTTATTTGCCATCAATTTTCATGGTTTTATAGAGGGCAGTATTCAGGATCCAATGAATGTTGATAAAGGGCAATCCTCAGGATCCCATTTTCTCGTTCCTACCTCATCAAATGTCATGCCACAAGAGGCTTGTAACTACCGTAAAATCTGTATTAGAAGCCGCACCCACTCTTTTTGAACAATTGAGAACCAAAAATTTACCATTTCTCATATGTGTAGATGCTCTAATAGAAGCTGCATCTGGCATTCTGATTGGTCCTTCATGTTCCCATTCTTTATTGTATTTCCATTTTATTTCCCTGTTTACTTGCTGTCATGGCTTACACACATCATTATTCTAGAAATAGAGCAGGGGTTTCCTTTAGCCTGACAAGTTGGT